GGGGTCCCCCCACTGACCTGGATGACCTCGGGGTCCCCTCACTGACCTGGATGACCCTGGGGTCCCCCTCACTGACCTGGATGACCCTGTGGCAGGCCCTGAGCACCTCGGGGTCCCCCCACTGACCTGGATGACCCTGGGGTCCCCCCACTGACCTGGATGACCCTGTGGCAGGCCCTGAGCACCTCGGGGTGCCCCTCACTGACCTGGATGACCTTGTGGTCCCCCCACTGACCTGGATGACCCTGTGGCAGGCCCTGAGCACCCCATGACCCCCCACTGACCTGGATGACCCTGTGGTCCCCCCACTGACCTGGATGACCCTGGGGTCCCCCCACTGACCTGGATGACCTCGGGGTCCCCCCACTGACCTGGATGACCTCGGGGTCCCCTCACTGACCTGGATGACCCTGGGGTCCCCCCACGGACCTGGATGACCTCGGGGTCCCCCCACTGACCTGGATGACCTCGGGGTCCCCTCACTGACCTGGATGACCCTGTGGCAGGCCCTGAGCACCCCATGACCCCTCACTGACCTGGATGACCCTGTGGCACGCCCTGAGCACCTCGGGGTGCCCCTCACTGACCTGGATGACCCTGTGGCAGGCCCTGAGCACCCCATGACCCCCCACTGACCTGGATGACCCTGTGGCAGGCCCTGAGCACCTCGGGGTCCCCCCACTGACCTGGATGACCCTGTGGCAGGCCCTGAGCACCTCGGGGTCCCTCTCCCAGCCGTGCAGCTCCCTCAGCACCACGTAGGTGCCGCGGGCCCTGAGCAGGCGCCGGCCGGGCCCCGTGGCCGTCAGCTGAGGGGACAGGGCAGGTCTTGGGGACAGACCCTCTCCAGGGCACAATCCCAGCTTCTCCTCAGGGATCCAGCCCGCCCTGGGGGTCCCTCACTGCACTGCCACCATCGGGTCCTTGCCAAACCCCAAAAACCCTCAGGGAAGTCCCCATATCCTCATTGAACTCCTCAAATCCTCAATGAACCCCCAAATTCTCACTGAAACCCCCAAAAACCCTCAGTGAAGTCCCCAAATCCTCATTGAACTCCTCAAATCCTCAATGAAACCCCCAAAAACCCTCACTGAACCCCCAAAAACCCTCATTGAACCCCCAAATTCTCACTGAAACCTCCAAAAACGCTCACTGAACTCCCCAAATTCTCACTGAACTCCCCAAATTCACACTGAACCCCAAAAAACCCTCATTGAACTCCCCAAATCCTCACTGAACCCCCAAAAATCTTCATTGAACTCCCCAAATCCTCACTGAACCCCAAAAAACCCCTCACTGAATCCTAAAATCATCAGTGAACCCCAAAAATCCTCAGTGAAACCCCCAAAAACCCTCCCTGAAGTCCCTAAACCCTCACTGAGCCCCAAAAACCCTCATTGAATCCCCAAAAATCCTCACTGAATCCCCCAAGTCTTCACTGAACCCCAAAAAAACATCACTGAGCCCCAAAAAACTCCTCACTGAATCCTGAAATCATCAGTGAACCCCAAAAATCCTCAGTGAAACCCCCAAAACCCCTCACTGAACTCCCCAAATCCTCACTGAACACCAAAAAAAATCACTGAACCGCCCCAAACCCCTCATTGAATCCAGAAATCCTCAGTGAACCCCAAAAATCCTCAGTGGACACAAGTCCTTCTCAAACCCCAAAAACCCTCATTGAACTCCCCAAATCCTCACTGAACTCCTAAATCCTCACTGAACCCCCAAAAACCCTCATTGAATCCCCAAAAGTCCTCGCTGAATCCCCCAAGTCCTCACTGAACCCCAAAAAACCATCACTGAACCCCCAAAAAAACCTCATTGAACCCAGAAATCCTCACTGAACCCCAAAGATCCTCAGTG